CCCGGCGCTCTCGCCGAAGCGCCGGCTACATTTTCATTGGCAATGAGGCTCACGCAAAAGCGGTTTGGGGGACCGGCCAACCCCAACAACAACGCTCCCGCTCGAGACTTGCTCGTTTTTTACTCATGGCTGGTGTTTTTGCTCGCCGCTGAAAGCTGCCGTCCTAACAAAACCAGCGTTCCCGCTGCAGACTTCCTCCCGTTCTACCTTGGATTTGCGCGCTCGTCTTTCTCTTATCGGCGCCGCCCCCAACAAAAACAACGCTCCCGCTCAAGGCTTCCTTCCTTTTTTACTCAAGGCGGTGCTCCCCCTCGCCGCCGCAAGCCGCCGCCCCGACAAAACCAGCGCTCCCGATCGAGGCTTCCTTCAATTATCCACTGCACCGGCGCCCAACTCTGTTTCAAATCGGCGCCGCTCCCAACAAGAACAACGCTCCCGCTCGAGGTTTCCTCCCTTTTCCCTGAAGACGGTGCTGTTCCTCGCCGCCGACAGCCCCCGTCCCGACAAAACCATGGCTCCCGCTCGATGCTTCCCCCTTCTTATTCAAGGCGGTGTTCATCCCCGCCGCCGAATACCGCCGCCCCGACAAAACCAGCGTTCCGGCCCGAGACTTCCTTCCGTTTTACGCTGGACTGGCGCTTTACTCTCTTTTGAGCTGGCGCCGCTCCCAGCAAGATCGACGCTCCTGCTCTAGATTTCCTTCTTTTTTTTTCCTCGGGTCGGTGCTGTTCCTCGCCGCCGACAGCCCCCGTCCCGACAAAACCACGGTTCCCGCTCGATGTTTCTTCTTTTCTTACTCAAGGCGGTGTTCCTCCTCGCCGCCGAAAACCGCCGCCCCGACAAATCCAGCGCTCCCGCCCGAGACTTCCTTCCGTTTCACTTTGGACTGGCGCTTTATTCTTTTTTGAATCGGCGCCGCTCCCAGGAAGACCGACGTTCCTGCTCGAGGCCTCCTCCATTTTTCCTGAAGACGGTGCTGTTCCTAGCCGCCGACAGCCTCCGCCCCGACAAAACCACGGCTCCCGCTCGATGCTTCCTCCTTTCTTACTCAAGGCGGTGTTCCTCCTCGCCGCCGAAAGCCGCCGCCCCGACAAATCCAGCGCTCCCGCAGCACTGGCGCCCCTCTTGCGCGATGTTCCTACACGAAGCATGCGACCATCATGATAACCATCCACATCATGGGGGACTCTTGTTCTACAGAGGGTCCGTTATTCCCATTCCCAGATTCCCCGCCCAGTGCGGTCTTGCAAACACCTCCTCCGAGGAAATTCAACATATCCCGCCTCGAAAGCACATGCCCGCACCTTGCTGCGCCGATGCGAGACCGCCAGCGGATCCCCAGCGAAGGGTAAAGCACAAGGAAGTATCGAACGACAGGATTGCCTTGATGGGGATGGGGACTGTCGGCGGTGAGGCAAGGACCTGGCCCTGAATACAAAGGGAGGAAGTCTCGAGCAGGGCTGCTGGTGTTGTTACTGTTGTTGTTGTTGTTGTTGATGTTATTGTTGTTGTTGTTGTTGTGGTTGTGGTTGTGGTTGTGGTTGTTGTTGTTGTTGTTGTTGTTGTTGTTGTTGTTGTTGTTGTTGTTGTTGTTGTTGTTGTTGTTGTTGTTGTTGTTGTTGTTGTTATTGTTGTTGATGATGTTGTTGTTGATGTTGTTGTTGTTGTTGGTGGTGTTTGTTGTTGTGGTCGTCCCTCCCGCGACCCTCCCTCGACCCACCCCGCGGCCCACCCCGCGACCCACTTGCGATCCACCCCGCGATCCACCCGCGACCCATTTGCGACCCACTCCGCGACCCAGCCGCGACCCACCCTGCGACCCACCCGCGACCCACCCGCGACCCACCCCGCGACCCACCCGCGACCCACTTGCGACCCACCCGCGACCCACCCGCGACCGATCCACATTGGTTTGAAGAAAAAATCGGCGCCTGCGGCGGGCTTGTTGCATAACTTGTGAAACTTTGGCGCCTGCTGCGGGCTTCTCCAGAGTCTCGCAGACTGCCGACGTCACAATCGCCCCCTCACTCTTATCCACATCTGCGGGGTGCTACGTGTGTGTATAATATATATATACACACATATATATATATATATATATATATATATATATATATGAAAAAGCGTGTTCTACGCTGCTGGCGGAAAACCGGGGGGGAGTCACTACCGGTTCGAACCCCTCCCCCCCCGGGGGGGGGGGGGTCACTACCGGTTCGAACCCCTCCCCCCCCCCCCTCATCATGAAAAGGGGGGGGGTCACTACCGGTTCGAACCCCCCCCCCCTCGAAAACCGGGGGGGGTCACTACCGGTTCGAACCCCCCCCCCCCCTCGAAAACCGAGTGGGGGTGCGGACAGTGGTGGGGACGGTGTTGGTGGGGACAGTGGTGAGGGGACAGCGGGACAGTGGTGGGGACAGTGGGACAGTGGGACAGTGGTGGGGACGGTAGTGGTGGGGACAGTGGTGGGGACAATGGTGGGAACAGGGGGGACAGTGGACAGTGGTGGGGACGGTGGTGGTGGGGACAGTGGTGTGGGGACAGTGGGAATGAGGTGGAAACAGTGGGACAGTGGAGGGTACAATGGTGGTGGGGACAGTGGTGAAGGCGGTGGCGAGGACGGCGGTGGGACAATGGGACAGAGGTACAGTGGGGACAGTGGTGGGGACAGTGGGGACAGTGGTGGGAACAGTGGGACAGCTCAGTGGGACAGCGGAGGAGTCAGTGGGACAGTGGGGACAGTGGGGGTAGTCGGGCAGTAGTTGGGGCCGTGGAGACAGTGGGGGGAGTGGAACCGTGGTGGGAACAGTGGTGGGGACAGTGGGGACAGTGCGACGGTGGTGGGGGCACTGGTGGGGACAGTAGGGACGGTGGTGGAACCAGTGGGGACAGTGGTGGTGATGACAGTGGTGGTGCAGGGAACAGCAACTGTGGGGGATGTGATGCGCACGGTGGTAGGGACCGGGAGTCGTTTGCTGGCGGTGCGTGGTGGGGGGTCGAACCGTCGAACCGGTAGTGACCCCCCTCCGGTTTTCAGGTGGGGGGGGGGGGTCGAACCGGAAGTGGCCCCCCCCGGTTTTCCGGATCCAGAGAGGGGGGGGAGGGGAGGGGTTCGAACCGGTAGTGACCCCCCCGGTTTTCGAGGGGGAGGGGGGGGGGGAGGGGGTAAGGGGGGGGGTTTTGCCGGGGGAGGGGGGGGGGATTTTCGGAGGGGGGGGGGCGACCCCCGGGTTCCGGAGGAAAAGGTTTGCAATTTTCCACAGTAAAGCAGCGGTGGATCACGCTCTCTCTTTCTCTCTCTCTCTCTCTCTCTCTCTCTCTCCCATATATATATATATACATATATATATGTATGCACATGCATTCACATTCGTATATGAATGTGTGAGTGTGTGTGTGTGTGTGCCGATATCACCCTCTCTCTCGCCCTCGCTCTCTCTCTCTCTCACACTCTCTCTCTCCACACATATGTATACCCCTCTCCTCTCTCCCCTGTGTTGAGCTCCTCTTGTCGTTGAGGGCCCCAGGGTCCGTCGGCAGCGCGGCTACGGAGGAGCAGCCGGGCCAGGGGGAGCGTCGGAGGGTCTCGGTATCGCTCGGACGTGTGCATTTTTCTCGGCGTGGGCCATCGAGGAGCACTGATGGTCTTATTTTCCACCACAACCGCCATGAGTTGGATGGGGGGACGTAGGAGGAGGAGGAGGAGGAGGAGGGCGAAGAGGAGGAGGAGGAGGAGCAGGAGGAGGAGGAGGAGGAGGGAGGAGCAGGAGGAGGAGGACCCCCTCCCCCTCCAACTTATGGTGGTGGTGGTGGAAAACGGGCCATCAAGCATCCTGGCAGGACTCGCTTCGATTCCTCCGATGAGATTCGGTTCGATTTCGATGGATTCTGATTCCGGTTCGATTCGATTTTGGATTCCGATATGGGATCCGATTTCTGCTTGGACGCACACTAGCCTGCCGATTTCCGCCGATTCGACTTTTCCCGCCTCGGCTGCACGATCGAAGAATGGCAGCAGTTCTTGTACATTTGAACAGGACTCGCTGTCGTTGTCGCCGCGGGCGGTGTCCATTTGAGACAGGCTGCCGCCATCGGGAAGGTCAGAGGGTCCGAGGGTGGGTCGGTACGATCGACATGGGTACGGACATGATGTCTGGGCAACGTAAGACTTGAGTACGCCGGGCCTTTGGTTTGCCATCGCTTTCTGGCGAGCGCGCCCTGCTTTCGTGTGAGACTTGCAGCGGGAGGTCGCGTCAAATCTCAGACATGGGTCTCACCACTGTCACGATGGCCAGCCCGAGTCCCCCGAGCCCGAGAAACTCACGTCTCCGCGAATGGATCGAGTGGGTAATGACAGTCAGCTCGCATAGCAAGGATGACCCTTGCCTCCTTGCCTCCCCGGTCCATCCTTGGCCACGTTCGTTGGCCGCGCCCCGCTCGAAGAGCTTCGAAATGGGCGTCCAAGGCCCTTGCTGGTTGACTGCACGAGGACCGGCAGCAGCCCTTGCTCATTTTGGAACGGGGCTCCCTGGCGGTGCCGCCGCGGACCGGTGTCCAATGTGAGGCAGGAGGCCGCCTGCCCAGCGGCGGCCGCTGCAGGTCTCGGACAGCACCTGTGCTTGGGCACTGTGCCCCTCTCTTCCGCGCTCGCTTCGGGCGTCCAGGGCGTCGGGATTCCACGGGGGGTCCGTCCTGAAATATCGGAGGTGGACAGACCTCCTACCCTGACGCGTCGATTTAATTTGCGAAGTTGGCCGTTTTGGGTTCGCGAGAGGGCGTCGCGGCCGTCATTTTTGCGGGTCCAGGTCCGTCGGTTTCGGTCCCAGGCCGTTCTCACTAAAGGCTGGTTCATTAATGGGAGGTTTTCCCACCGCCGAAAATAGAAGCACGGCGCCGGGCGGTCTGCTCCACCCCCAGGAGCGCGAAAGGGACCGCGCTTCGCGTCTCAAGGTGGGTGGGTCGAATGTACACTTCAAGGGACGAAGGGCGGTGGGGGAGAGGAGGACACACAAACGCTGCGCGGCGCCACGGCGCACCACGACGGCGTCCCTCCACCGCGCTTACCAGTTGGAGACACATCCCAATCCCCATGTCTTGCATCACCTCACACCTCGGTGCCGATCTTGAGGATGCCTTAGGTTTCTGAGGGCACATCCCTGAGATTTTCGCCGCCTCTGCCTTGCCGGCTTTCGGGATCGGAATAAGTTCGGATTTGGCTACGCGCGTGGGGCCGGAGACGCCGCTGCCCCGCTGCCCCACCGAGCGGCTCGCGCAGCGGCGCAGGCGGGTGGACCCCTGCTTGCGGCCGGTGGTGGCGGACGACGCCAGTCCTCCGAAGGGTTGACGTCCTCAATCCCGTTCTTCTTTCCCTCGATCTCGGCCTCCGGGTGTCGCTTTCGGGCCCTGGGGCCGTCCAAGAAAGACCGGGGAGAAAGACGTTCCCTGCTGGGGAGGTGGTCGGGAGTCTTGGGGCCGCCGGGTGGAAGAGGAGACATCTCGCCGGAGGTTTGGGGAAGGAGGGATGGGTGGGGAAGGTGGGGGTGGGGTGGGGTGGGTGTGCGGGTGGGGTGGGTGGGGATGGGGTGGAGAATGGGATGAGCATGGAGTGCGGTGTGAAGGTAGGGTGGAGTTTGGGGAGGGGGAATAGGGGATAGATGGGGGGGTGGGGTGGGGTGGGGGGGTGGGCCGGGTGGGGGGGGGTGGGAGTGTGGTGTGGGGGTTGGGCGGGTGTATGTTGGGGATGCGATGGGATGGGATGGGTGAGGCGGGTGAGAAAGGCGGGAGTGGGGGTGGGGGTGGGGGTCAAGCTAGCCAGCTCGAGCGAGTCAAGCATGGCATGCCCATTCCCACCCGCCCTCCCACAACATAAGAAACAGTGATGGCACAACGGACAGGCTGCTGTCTTCCCCCTCGCCGTACCCCTAAACCCCCCAAATCCGTTCCGAAGGAAGCCTTCGGACTCCTCCCGGGTCCAAACGCACAACTTTTTCGAGTCGCGTCCAGCCGTGACTTAGAGGAGGACCCCGAGGGCCAGAGAGCTTCGAACACCGATTCTCGAGGCAACGGACAGGCTGCTGTCCCCCCCCTCGCCGTACCCCCAAACCCAGATCCGGTCCGAAGGAAGCCTTCGGACCCCTCCCGGGTCCAAACGCACCATTTTTTCGAGTCGCGTCCAGCCGTGACTTAGAAGAAGACCCCGAGGGCCAGAAAGACTCGAACACCGATGCTCGAGGCGCAAAGTTCGAGCACCTCACTGAAACACTCCCCCATCGGCGCGCCGCCGACCATGACCTGTGGGCGGCGCCGGCGCCGTGCCGCCGCGACGGGCCATCCCGGTTCGGGCTTCGAGGCTCCTCGGAAGCTCCCGCGGCTCTGGCGTTTTTCCGTCGACTTCGCACGTTTTTCCCTCGACTTTGCCCTCCAGGGAACAATTTCTGGCCCCCCGGACCAATGAAAAAATATCCAGGACGCAGAACTGCCCCCGAGAAAGGGGTCGAGATCTCAGAAAGGCTTAGGACAAATTCGCCGGCCCAACGGGTCAGAGGCGTGCAAAGATCTCCTGTAACTAGTTAACACTCTTCTAGTTTGCGCGCGCGGGGCGACCCCTGGGGGCCCCCGGGCGAAAAGTACCCCGAGCAGGTCCCGGGCCAGCCCAACGGGCCAGAGGCGTGCTAAGATCTCCGGTAACTAGTTAACAATCTTCTAGTTTGCGCGCGCGGGGCGGCCCCTGGGGGCCCCCGGACGAAAAGAACCCCGAGCAGGTCCTGGGCACGTCGGTCCCAGCGATGGTTTTCTTCTTCGGCGCTGACTTCCAGGTCCCAGAGCGCCCCAGGAACGCCCCAAGAGAGTCGAGACGCCCCCGAGACGATCCGAGGGGCCCTCAGTCGCCGAAAGTTCGTTCCAAGACGCCCAAGATTGCCTCCAGACGGCCGAAGACGCCACCAAAAAAATCGCGGGGAGCCTCAGGAGGCCCTCCAAGAGCCTGAACAAGCAGAAATCTCCCATGCATTCGTCACCCCAGGGCCTCCTGGAACGCCCCGGCGCCCAATGAATTGGCGAGCGAAAAACGTGCGCCGAGCCAAAGCGGGAGCGCAACTTTGAGAAAATTTCGCTCGGCGCCCAAGCGGGAAGGTCATTTCATTCACTTCGAGCGGGGGGGGGAGGGGGTGTGTCGCGCCCAATTATTGCCATGCACTTTTGCGGGGTGGACGACAAGAACAGCTATGTGGGCAGGGGAACTCAGCATGGCATTGTTTCTGACAAGTGAGGTGGCCCCTCCCGCCTTGGGGTTGCCCCAGAAATCCGCGCGCGATGTGCGCCGCGCCCCATTCGTGCCACGCATTTCGCATCGTCGACGACAAGACAGGCCATGATGAAAGGAAAAACGGCAATTTTGTATTGTTGTTTTACAGGCGAGATGGGAGGGCCCGCAGCCCGCATGGACGTCCGCGCGCGATCTGCGCCGCGTCCCAATCCTGCCACATATTTCGCACCGTCGGCGACAAGGTCAACCATGCTGAGAGGTACAAGCGGAGACTTTGCATTGATTTTTTACCGGCAGGATGGGCAGGCCCGGATTGACGGCCGCGCGCGATGTGCGCCGCGTCACATATGTGCGCCGCGTCCCATTGCTGCCACATGTTTCGCACCGTCGGCGACAAGGCAGGCCATGCTGAGAGAAAAAACGAAGACTTCGTATTGATTTGTACCAGTCAGGATGGCGGGCCCAAATTGACTGCCGCGCGCGATGTGCGCCGCGTCCCATTCCTGCCACGCTTTTCGCATCGTCGGCGACAAGAAAGACGATGTTGAGAAGAAAAACGGCCACTTTGTACTGATTCTTTACAGTCCAGATGGGAGGTCCCGGATTGGGTCGCTATCGGCCGGAATACGAGGTAGGTGGGGGTATATAATAATAAGGAACAGGATGGGGTAGGGCGTGGGTCAAATTAGCCAGCTCGAACGAGCCAGAGGGCTCCGTCCACTCCCACCCGCCCTCCCGCAACATAAGAAGCAAGTGCGTCGCGTCCGACGGCCGTCGCTCATCTTATTTCGTTGGCGGCTAGACGCTCAGCGCGCGACATGAGCTGCGTCCTATTCGTTCTGCGTGTTGAGCAACGTCGACAAGAAACAAGACCGCGCGCGATGCACGCCGCGCCCCGTTCCGGCCTCATGTTGCATCGTCGGCGACAACATGCCCAGCGCGCGAAATGCGCCGCCAATCGTTTCGCTCCTGCCGCGCATGGAGGAGTGGGAAGAAGAGGAGGCGGAGGAGGAGGAGGAGGAGGGGGAGGAGGAGGAGGAGGAGGAGGAGGCGTCCATGTTGACGAGCAGGCGTTCCCGCGCGATGCGCGCCGCGTCCCATTCTCGCTACGCGAGTCGCAGCGCCGACGAGGAGAAAGTATATGCTGGTAAGAAAAACGTCGACGTTGCGATTTTTTCTTTGGAGGTAGGACGGGTGGTCCCGCGTAGGGTTGGCCAGGCATCCGCGCGCGATGTGCGCCGCGTCCCATTATTGTTGCACTTTTCGCAGCGTCGACGACAATAAAGTCCATCTTGACGAGCCGAGCGTTAACTTTTTATTGCTTTTGGATGGGTAGGGCGCAACTACCCGCTTTGGGTTACCCAAGCGATGTTCGGTCCTTCCATTTCTTCATACACTTGTCGCAACTCGGCGACATGTTGGCAAGACAACAATTGAGCTTGCGTTGTCGTTTACAGTTCGGACGGCGGGGTTGCTATCGGTCGGCTGGGTGGGGATGTGGGGGTGTTTAATCATAGGAAGTAAGGATGGGGGGGGAAGGAGGCATATGCAACATTTGCTGCAGGCAACTAGCTTCGGCGCCACGGCGCCACCGTTTGGCACACTTTTCGCGGTGCAAGGTCCTAGCGCTGGGAGCCGGTGGGAACACAAACCGTTTGCAGTCGATTGAACAGCTCTTATTCTAGTACCCATTGTGATCGTCGACCCCGCGTTGGTTTAGCCGCGCGCAGTGTGGAACGAGGGAAGCTGGATGGCGGGGGAGACGCAGGATGAGGATTCATTTCTTTGGGTGACTTGTGTTTTCTGTCGGCCTCCTGAGATTTTCTAGACTTCAGGCCTCGTGGGCCTCTGGCGAAGTGTGGCGCTCCATGGCGGGAGAGGGAAGCGGGAGAACGAGGAGCAGGAGGAGGAGGAGGAGCCATGCAATCAAGTAAGGGGAACGCGTTCCTTGTATTCGGCAGCGGTCTAGAACGGCCGTGGCGTTCGGTACTGTCCATACCCGCAGTCCATCAGGTAAGCTCAGTTCATTCCTGCCTGGTTTCATCCTCGCCTTGGCTTTGGATTGATGGAGGACCAGGGGTTGAGCCGAGATCGCAGCTGCCTTGGAGCTGTCACGACGGCCTCGAGTCCACGCTTTCGAGGGGCCTGTTTAGGACCCTGGGGCGTTGAAAGAAGACCCGCGGCGACAAAACGGTTCGAAGGATGGGATCGATAGCTCCACATCACGCAGGAGAGAACAAACACAAAAAAAAATAAGAAAACGTGGGATATCTAGGAGGGGGAGGTGGAGGAGCAGGTTTTGGTGGATGTTCTCGGATAGGGGGCGCGATGGGGAAGGACAGGATGGGTGAGGAAGGGGTGAGGTGAGGAGTCACAACACCGTCCCCGCCAGTAAGCTGTCTTGCTCATTCTTATCCGCCCTCCCAACATGTAAGTAGCACCCGAACCTCATCTTTGCAGCGGTCGCCTATCGATGGGCAGCTAGTGGAAACCAACACAGACCCCATGTGCGCGACGTTGGGGCGAGTTGCGCCACGCGCGCCAGGCCTGCCAGGCGCGTCACGAACGCCAAGTGCGCCAGGCACCCCTGGGCCACAAGCGTGCAAGGCGCGCCTGACGCGCCACATGCACAACGTGCTCCACGTGCGCCGTGTGTGCCGGATGGTCCAGCCGCGCCATGTGCGCCAAGTTCTGGGCATTGCTTCTCTGTGGTAACAGTACCATTACTATGGCAACGGGTACATTCAAGTCCGCACTCGGTGAAACACAAGGATGTGCAGAAACGTGCAGAATTTTGGAAGGGGAGTGGCTGCAGGAGCTCGACGGCCTCCTCCGCATTTCCGGAGCGAGTCCCATGGACGGCCGATCTGGTGGGCAGGCTGGTGCGGCAGATGCCGGAGCGCAAGGAACCCGGGCTGGACCACTGGACCGTGGGCGAGCTGCAGCCGTTCCCGATTTACCTCCACGGCTGGATCGTCTAGCTCTTCGAGGAGATGGAGGCGAGCGGACGTTGGCCCCACGACCTCGCCGAGGCCGAAGGGCTGTTGCTGCCCAAGCCTGGTGGCGAGGGCGGTCCGCTGGACAGGATGCCGATGTATCTGTTGTCGACCCTGTACCGGATGTGGGCGGCCGGGCGAGCGCGCCTGTTCGCCCGGTGGCGCCTGAGATGGGCCAGCGAAAATGCACAGCGCGGCGCCCAGGAGCTCGCCTAGGACTTCGCCGGCGCAGCCGTCGACTGGCGCAAAGTTTATGATCACATCAACCTCGGCACCCTGCCTGGCGTGCTTGCTCGCGCTGGCGTGACGCAGTGGATCATCGGGCCGGCCATCGGCGCGTACGCGGCCAACCGAAGATTGAGGGTCGGACGCGCCTTCGGGGGCGCTTGGGCCCCGTCCAGTGGCATCTTGCCTGGTTGTGCACCCGCGGTGTTCTTCTTGAGCGTCCTGACGTGGCCCTGGCACCAGAGCAGTGGCGCGGTCGACGACCGCCTGCAACGCAGAATTTAAATTGATTTCGCGCTATGGAGACAGCGTCCGGCGCAGGAAGCCAGCGGGGCGGCGGAGTCGGTCCGCGATGCGTTGCCGCGGCTTTGAGCACGCCATGGGCCAGAAACTCAACCGCGGCAAGAGCGCGCAGTTCGCGAATTCGGCGACGGTGCGGCGCTTTCTTTCGGCGAAGCCGCTGGGCATTCCCGCTGGCGCCAGCTTCAAGGATCTCAGCGTCGTGGCGACCGCGGGTGGCGCCGTTGCGCGCGCCGAGCCGCTTGCTCGCGGCGGCGGGCAGGTTCGCTCAGATCGGGCGCCTGCCAGTGGACTTCGGCAGCGCTGCCTGTTGGGGGCCGCGGCCGGCGTGTTGTTTGGAGCCGCGTGCGGGCTGCCGCCGGCTCGCGAGCTCACGGGGCTCCTCTCGGCGGCTCGGCGCGCCGTCTGCAGGGGCGGGTTCCGCGCCGCGACGGAGGTGGCACTCGGCATCCTCGGCCCCAGCTGGCGGCTGGACCCAGCAGCGATTGCGGTCATTGCTTCGCTGTGGCCGATCGTCAACGCGCCGCAGCGCGGCCGCTCCCCAAAGGATCCTTGGCGGGAGGTGGAGGGCGCCATCGCCGCGGGGCACGGCCGTCGCCAAGGGCCCATAGCAGCTGCAGCGCGCAGCGCGGCGGCGCTTCAGCTGGGCGCGGACGCGGCGCGCTGGCAGGACGTCGCGTCGGCGCCAGCAGGGTGGCGACCCGCTGGCCAGGCCCTGCAGGACGCGCGGGCGGTTCTGCTTGCCGCCCGGGCGCGCCGCGAGGCTCGTGAGGTCGCGACCAGGCGCGCCGACTTTGCTCACGTTGCGGGGGGGCATGGACCGTTTGGGCACCCGTCGCCTCCTGGAGAGCGGCGAGCTTGCGCACGACGCCGCTGGCGCCTTTCGCGCAGTCCCGAGTGGCAATGTCGTCGCCGAGACTGTGGCAGCCAAGCGGGGCGAACCCGAGCTCTGCCCGCATTGTGGCGCGGCGCGCGAGGACCAGCAGCTCCCGTTTTGGGATTGCCTCAGCCCGGCGCACGGCGCTCGCAGCAGGGGGTCCTCGCCCGCCGCCCTGCTGGCCAGGCTGCCGCCGGGGGTGGCTAATTCTGGAGTCCTCCCTCTGGGCCCCCAGCTGGCGGCGGAGGCCGCAGTGGCAAGCGCGCCAAAGCCGGCGCCGCCGATGCCGGAGCCCGCCGTGGTCCAGCCGGGCCAGCCGCAGCGCCCGCTGCAGGGCTTGGACGGATGGGGCGTGCGAGCACCCCACGGACCCGCCGCGCGTTGGCGCGCGCGGCTTGGGGCTTTCAGCTGGAGCGCCAGCGGCCCACGGCGCTGGGCACTGCGGGCCCGTGGACGGGCCGCGAACCGCACAGCGCGCGGATCTGACCTCAGCTCTGCGCGCGATCAGCGAGGCAGGCCAGCGGGACGAGGTCAACACGGTTTCCAAATTCGTGGCCCATGGCATCGCGGGGGGCAATCCGCCAGGGCGCCTCAGCCCAGGGCTGGGCGCATGCGGACTTGTGGGAGCGCCTGGCGCCTCACTCGATGAGGATGGGGCGGCGGCGGCGGCGGCGCGCGGCGTGGCAGCCGAGGGCCGACGCGTCAACGCGGCAGCGGACAGGCTGGCTGGCACTGCTGCCAAGGCTCGCTTGTTGGCGGCGGCCCTACTGCAGAGGCGGCTCGTGCAGCTCCACGCCCTCGGGGTGCTGCAGTCGATGCTGGCCGCAGTCGAGCTCGAGGCCCCCATGGCCAATCATGGCAGCCGCGGCCAGGAGGGGCCTCGCGCGGTCGCCGCCGGGGCGGGCCCCCGCGCCGCCGAGCGCCGCACGTGGCCGATGACGTCGTCGCGGCCGCTGCGGCGGCGCAGCAGGGGCGGCGGGGGGTCGAGGGCGTCGCGCCGCGGCCTGGGCCAGCGGCTGCGGCGCCGGCGCTTTCGGTGGCGCGGCGCGGAGGGCGCGCGCGGCGTCTTCGGGGCCCCGGTTGGGTCGCCTGCTTGCGCTGCGGCTGCTGGGCCCCTGATTGGGCGCGCCTCGCGGGTCGCCCGCGCGCCGGTTAGGCGCCCATCCCGCCGCCGAAGGCGGCCGCGCTGATGCTGCTCCCGCCCGCGCGGCCCAGCGGCGCTGAGGCTGCTTGGCGCGGCGTCCTAAGGCAGCACTTAGCGGCGCGCCCGGCCCCCCCGGACTAGCGAGTGGGGGGTGCGGCGGCGCCGGGCGAATTAGTTGTAATTGGTGTCGCGGCGGCTGACGGCTGCCCTGGGCAGCGGTTGTCCAGCGCGCTCGCCGGGCGCGTTTTTGTCTTCGTTCCTTTTCCTCTCCCCTCCTCCTCTCCTCTTTCGGTTTGTCCGTGTCTGCTCGTGACCCGTTCTCGCCGCTGGGCTCTCTGTCCGGATGGTAAAAAAAGCTGCTAACAGATTTCAGTGGAAACTGGGGAGGCGGAGGGGCAGCATTTGCAACAATTTGTTGTTGTGACAACGGAAGCTGGGCTATCACGCTCGGCAACTCAGTCAGCAGCCGCTGGCTGAAGCTTGCGACCTCCAGAGGAGGGAGAATAACGACGACGAAGGCAAGATGGCGAATGCTTTTCAATGTTGTCTGCGATCTGGAGAACACTTCCGGGCTCGGGGACAGTCAGAAGATGGGTGGACATGCTTGGGGGGACACGCGTTGAGCAACTATCGGGGCGAATCGTGAAACGGACTATGATGATAGTTCCGGAACTTCTAGAGATGCAGGCGACTAAACGTTGATGCTGCGTCGACGTTTATTGTCGATGTGGAACCGCAGCGGGTATGCGATCACCACATATCGATGTAGTTTGTTATGTGTTTTTGGTTTTACTACCCCCCTCTACGAAGCAGGCTTTCGTAATCAGTCCCAAATCCTCCCGCAGACTCTTTCGGGCGCTTTTCTCTCAACCGCGGAGCGATCATCAATTTTTTTTTGCGGCGCCCCCCCGGCGTGCTCGCCCATGGCATGCCGCGTTTAATCTTGTCGGGCGTGTTGTCGACCATGTGACGCCACGGAGCTGTCAGCCGCATGCCGCGCATGCAGGCCGATGTTTGAGCAGTCGTTGCGTTTCGAGGTCGCCCTCCGTGTCCCATCCTCTCCCTTTCGACGACCAGTTGGCGCCACAGGCAGAAGCTCTTGGAGACCGCGGAGTGTGCTTCTCGGGGGCCCCGTGGACAGGGACTCCGGTAAACCAGGAGGACCCTGACACGCTCGAGCGAATTGCAGCTCTGGGTCGCAGCATCCTCCACTTATGGATTTGGTAGCGAGTCCTGACTTCTGAGGCCCTCAGTCGATGTGGTGTCCGAGGGTCCTTACAACGGGTGCAACTCTTGGGAGGTCGTCGTGGGCGAGATTGAGCCAACGCAAGCCACATGACCTAGCGGTCACGCCGGTCAAGCAGGATTTGGCCAGATTGGGCCAGGACCCACCCAGGGATATATACCATTTTCGGTACTCGATTCGAGCTCCCAGGGACTGCACAGACGACTCGCACAGTAAGGATGAGCAACTTTTCCAAGATTACCCTTGCATCCTTCTCCTTTGGCCCATCCTCGACCGCTTTCGCTGGCGGCGCCCCGCTCGCAAAGTGTCGACGTGGCCTCCCACGGCCCTTGCATCCTTAGCGTGCGTCCTTATTATACGGGCTGATTGTAATCAGGTTGACTTCGGGAGAGAGCTGTCGGACGCGGCCGGGGCGAGGATGAATCCGCTCCAGAGCGTTCAGGAGCGCTCTCAGAGCGATCTGGAACGCTCTATAAAGGGTGCGGCGTCCTGGCTTCGTCTCAAGGTGGAGCGCGGTAGAGGAGGAGGAGGAGGAGGAAGGAGGAAGGAGGAAGGAGGAAGGAGGAGGAGGAAGGAGGAAGGAGGACCAGGAGGACCAGGCGGACCAGGAGTACCAGGAGGGGGTGGATGACACTCATGAGGAGGAGGAGGAGGAGGAGGAGGAGGAGGAGGAGGAGGAGGAGGAGGAGGAGGAGGAGGGGGAGGAGGGGAGGACACTTATGAGAAGGTGGAGGAGGGACACTTCTGGCGCTGTTGTGGGTCTGGCGAGGTTTCGCCACATGTCTGCCTCGTAGCCGCCTCTAGCTTGCACCATGGATACTGCATGGAATGGCTTATACCACATATATATGTATATATATATCCTGGGGGACGAGGTCCCCCGGCCGAGCCCAAGGACCTCGGGGGCGCATGGGGGTGCAGGGTCCCGGGGGACGAGGTCCCCCGGCCGAGCCCAAGGACCTCGGGGGCGCATGGGGGTGCAGGGCCCCCGGGGCCGCTCGGAAAGGTTCCCGTTCGGTTCCAGAGACCGCCAGGGCGGGCTCCAGCCCAGCCAAGACAGCCCGCGAGCGCTCCAACACGCGCCAGCATGGCTTCCAGACGAGCCCAGCGGCCACCAACACGCCCCAAGCGGCCTCCAAGACGCCTCCCAAGAGAGCCCCAAGAGGCAAAAAACGTTGTTTTTTCATTGTTTTTTCCTATGTGTTTTGTCTTCTCGCTTTTCCTGCTTTCCGACGCTCCAAGACGGCCCAAGAGGCCCCCAAGAGAGCCCCAGGACGGCCCAAGAGGCCCCTAAGCCGGCCCCAAGACGGCCCAAGAAGCCCCCAAAGGCGTCCCGAGACGGCCCAAAAGGCCCCCAGGACGGCCCAGGAGCCGCCCAAGACAGCTCCAGGAGGGCCCCGCCATGGCCTGAAGACTGCCTAAGCGAGCCCAGCGGACCTCCAACACGCGCCAGCATGGCCTCCAAACGAGGCCAGAAGCCACCAACACGCCCCAAGCGGCCTCCAAGAGGCCTCCCAAGGAGCCCCAAGAGGCCGCAAACGTTGAGTTTGCATTGTTTTTTTTCGATGTGTTTTGCCTTCTCGGTTTTTCTGTTTTCTGACGCTGCCAGACGGCCCAAGAGGCACCCAAGACAGCCCCAGGACGGCCCCAGAGGCCCCTGAGCCGGCCCCAAGACAGCCCAAGAGGCCCCCAAAGGCGTCCCAAGATGGCCCAAGTGAGCCCCAAGACAACCCCGGAGCCGCTCAAGACAGCCCCAGGAGGGCCCCGACATGGCCTGACGACTGCCTAAAAGGCCAGCGAGCCTCCAACACGCGCCAGCATGGCCTCCAGACGAGCCCACAGGCAACCAACACGCCCCAAGCGGCTTCCAAGAGGCCTCCCAAGAGAACCCCAAGAGGCCACAAACGCTGATTTGTCATTGGTTCTTTCGATGTTTTTCGCGTTCTTGCTTTTTTTGCTTTCCGACGCTCCAAGACGGCCCAAGAGGCCCCCAAGAGAGCCCCAGGACGGCCCAAGAGACACTTAAGCCGGGGCCAAGACGGCCCAAGACGCCCCCGAAGGCGTCCCAAGACGGCCCAAGAGCGCCCCAGGACGGCGCAGGAGTCGCCCAAGACGGCCCCAGGAGAGCCCCGACATGGCCTCAAGATTGCCCAAGCGAGCCCAGCGGACCCCAAGAGGGCCCCACGAGGCCGCAAGAAGCCCCCCGAGGCCACCCAAGCGCCCCCCAAAAGGCTCCCCGGAGGCTCCCAAGAGGCCCAACAACTCCTCCCAAGACGCCCCAGAGACTTCCAGTACGCCTCCAAAAACTGACCCCGAGAGGGTCATGCGAGGCCCCAAGACAGCCCAATGATGGCCACGCGAGAGCCACACCATACATTACGATGATGAGGAGGCGTAAGTAATGGTGGCGAGGGATGCTGATGACAAGGATGGAAGGGGAGCGAAGGATGAGGAGGACTGGGGAGTGACTAGAGGTGAGGAAGGACGAGAACGAGGTGTATGAAGAGAAGGAGTGGCAGATTGAAGAGAGCGGGGAGGACATGGAGGAGGCTGATGATGATGATGAGGAGGAGGAGGAGGACGAGGAGGAGAGGAGGACGGGGAGCAGTGACGTAACCAGCCCTTAACATTTACGCTTCCCAAGAGCGAAGGGTGCCATGAGCCGTCTCGGGCAAGTTCCTTCAGCGCTCTTTCCGTTTCCGTGCACAACCATTGGCCCATCCATGGAGCCATGACGGGGCCCAGGTCAGCGCCGAGGCTGTTCCCGGAGCTTCCAACAAGGTCTCCGAGTTGCACTTCCGCGTCCTGCTCCACCGACCCTGTACCCCATATCGGCTGAAGACATGATGCTGCTGCCTCCGCAGTCACCAGTCAGTATTATGCTGCTTACTTTTACGGCATTGCAGGCTGCCATCCATATCGCGGGTCGAGCCGCCGCCCCCTGCACCTCCGTATTCGTGGTCATGGCTTCAGCTGTTACTGAGAGGCCGCGCCACACGTGTCATAACTATCAATTTTGCAGTGGACTTCAAGCTCATATCCCAGTCGAAGGCACCAGCAAACGAGAACGTCAGAGATTTTGCAAGCGGTGCTTTTCGGCAGATGCACGGTGTGCCCACCCCCAGCGCGAGGCTCCTGTAGCTCCACCCTTCCGACGGCCAAAAACACATGTCACGCCTACTTTCTGCACAACGCACTATCCCGACCCATGCCACAATACCACGCGTGAGTGGAACTTGTGTAGGAACGCCCGCGTCGGCTGCCGCCTTCTGACAACCAACGAATCATCTGGCCCGTGCTTTCCGTGCTCTGAAGGCTCCCTGCCCTGTCGCTTCGCGGTGCTGGGGTGTCCTTCCCACGTCCGGCAAAAAGTCAAAAATGCATCAGGCCGGCTTCCACAATGCGTGAACCATCAATTCGGCAATTCGCCAATTCGCCTGCGCGTCGCTTGGCTGCCAGGAGGAACGGAGCGATACAGCCCGCAGTACTTGCGCCCCATGCCAAGCCGGACGTCGACTGTGCACAGTGTGCTTCTCGCGCCGAGGAGCGCCCGGAACTCCAGATCTGCGCGCTCACTGTGGCGGAGCCAGCCCAGCCGCCAGCCCTTCTCTAGCCGCTCCAGCGCAGTCTTCGACGGCGCTTGCATCTACGCCCTCGCGATGTAGCACTCCGAAGTGCGGGGCGCCAGCGGTGCAAGAAAGCACATCTCGAACGGGCGCGCAATGCCCCATGTGCATCCTCGGTGTCTTTCCTTGCGCCACGGCCACCTGCAACTTCCGCGTCCCTCGACAACACGGACAGCATTGCCTCGTCTGCCAACCGCCCGCCCTGCCCCACTTCTGCCGCGCGCCCCCGTGCACGAACGTAGTCGAGTCGCCAGAGGACACTTTGCGTTGTGTAATTCGTCCTGTTTCCCACGTTCGACGCGTAGGTGCGACGGCCGTTCCACCCCTGGTTCAGCAGGCCTGTGCCGAACGTGCGGGCTGTCCACACCACAACCACTACTATCCCTCTCCAAACGATCCTACGAGCAAGCCGAACGCCCTTGTAGTTCGTCTGGGTGCAACGGTGTAGCTCAACGGAACATCGTCCGACGCCCTCTGCATCGCGTGCATTCGGAAAAGGGAAGCCATGTAGCAATCGTGCCATTGGGTGCGCTTTTCTCGTGGGCCCTCTCGGCACCGTGGTGAAATGTAGGCACTGTTGCCTCGCGGGGCCCCCTTGCCAGGGGCCCGGAAAGGCCGGCTGCCGCGCCCCCGCCCGCCATGGCGTGCGACGCGCAGTGCCGCACAACAACGGCATGTGCGAACGTTGCTTTAAACCCACATGTTCCTTCCCACTGTGCGACAGAAAGTTGACGAAAGCAATGTACGCCACCGGATACTGCCCCGACCACGTCCGACATGCCGCGGTAGCCACCGCCGCCGCCGGGCCCCATCATCCTCCGACGTCGGGGTCTTCTGGTGTCCCACACGCCCGTCCACGTAGCGATCCGTTGCAAGCACTTTGCAAGCAGGTGGCGGCAGCCGTCCGCATGTACCTCCGAGCACGTGACTCGCCGAAATGTTCCGTGCCGTGGCGTCGCCTCAAGTCCACCCGCGCAGCACTTCCGAACTCGTCCAGCTGTCCGCCCGCCTGCGCAGCGCATCGGAACTGGTTCGCAGAACCCGTGCCTGGGGCCTGGGACTTCTCTTGGCGTACGCACCGGCCACCGCGCCGGCTGGTGGTCGACAGACGAATGGTGCAGCAAACGCGTTCCGAAAGCGTCGCTCTCTCCGACCGGCCACTTTCAAGGAGCCTGCGCAACGTGCGGGGCTCTGCACTTTTTCGCCGAACGCGCGCGCTGCCCGGCAGCACGCAGAAAGGACTTCGGCGCGTGCTGCAGGTACGGAGCCCTGGCTGGCATCCCCCTACTGCCTCCCGCTCCGGCCGAAATGGCTCAGCTCCTTCGTCCGGGTCCTTCCCACGACCACTTCATGCAGCACATTCGGTCGTACAACTGCGCCCTTGGATTCGCATCCTTCAACAGCGAGAGCAATGTCGCCGCACGGAAGACCCGCACGGAAGACCCCCTGTCGGGCACCCGGGCACCGGGGCACCCGGGCACCCGGGCACTGCAGGCACCCCGGCACCGGGGCATCCGGGCATCCCCCGGGCACCCGGGAAGGAGGAGGGAGGATGAGGAGGAGGAGAAGGAGGAGGAGGAGTGAACGTCGGGCAGGCGTCCAGCGCAATCCGAGCCGAGGGTAGAGCCAGAAGGAGTAGGAGGTAGAGGGGACCGGGAGGACCGTTTCGGCCGTTCGAAAAAGCACCTCATCCATGTCCTCCTCTTCCTCCTGGGGGATATCAGTCCCAGCTGGCGTGGAGCTGGAGGTCGATCCTCCACCGTCAGCACAACCACAGGGGCAGCAGCATGATCGAGTCGTCGACCCTTCGTCCGAGTCGTCGTGTACCGTCGAAGCTGCTGCCCCAACATCTCTCCCTCTTGGACCGCGCGATGCGGAAGAGGAAGCAGCCTGTTCATTGTTTGGCTTGCCTGGTGAGAGTCCCTCCCAGCAGGCCGTGCAGCAGGCATCTGAGCCAGCCTCGTCGGCTGGAGCGTTCGGCCGAGACCGAGCTGCCTCCGTCCTTGAAGAGGACGAGGCCTCGCTCGTCGCCGTCGCTGCACTACAGTCTGACGACTCAGACTAGGAGATGCAGCATGCGTCCTCCGCGTGTGGCGCGTCTCGCCCTGACCTCATTCTTCTCTGGTCGTGGGCTTAGGGGGGCAGGCGGTGAGCCACAGGGGATCCTCCCCTCCTGTGGGAAATCGCCCCGTGGCTTTCGCGCCTGCCCTCCTATCTTCGTTTCACTGCTCGCTGGCCTGCTACAGGCCAGATATCAGGGGGCGACGACCTCTGGGCGTCGATGTCGAACAAATCCTCCTGCTCGTTCTCTTCCCCCTCCCTTCCATAATCAGACTATTCCTCCGCCGGCTCGGCTCGGCCCGGCCCGGCCCGGCTCGGCCAGCGGAGGACTCTGACCTCGGAGGTGCCCTGCCCCACGGTGGTCCGAGACAGCCCAAGAGAGCCTTCAAGATGGCCAAGATGCCCTCAAAAGTGCCCCCACGAGGAACTCAGGAGGCGAAGCAAGTAGGTTTCCTCAATGGTTTTTGAAGGTTGTTCGTGTTCTCGCTGTTTTGTGCTTCCAACGGTTCAAGACAGCCCATGAGGCCCCAGAAACCAGCTCAAGACGGCCCAAGAGGCACCCAAAGAGGGCGCCGCGACGGCGCAATAGAGAGAGCCCCCAAGATGGCCCAAAAAGTGCCCCAAGGCGGCCCTAGAGGCGCCCAAGATCGCCTCAAGAGGGCCCCAAGAGGGGCTCAAGAGGGGGAACACGAACCGACAATTCGAGCCTTCCGCCCCAGTAGGCCTCCAGGAGGCCCCAAGAGGCCCCAAGAGAGCCCAAGAGGCCCCCTAGAGGCCTCCTAGAGGCTCCACGAGGCCCCACAGGAGCCCCCAAAGACGCCCCGCGAACATCCGTAGCCATTTTGGCTCAAGGTGGATCTGACTGCAGCGCGCAAGCGCTCATCATAGTTGCCCATCACCATGCGGACCCCGCGACCAGACCCCTGGGGCCCGAGGCTGCCCACTTTTCCCAAACTCCCCCCTCCCCCCGCGGTGCCCACCGTGTCCCTCGGGGTCCTTCGGGGGGCTTTCGGAGGGCCCGAAGGCGCTCCCCAGACGGTCCAGGAGGCTTCCGAGACGGTCCAAGAGTTCGTCAAGACGCCCATGATGGCTTCAAGACGGCCCGAGAGGCCCCCCAAGCGCTTGAAGAGGGCTTCAAGAGGACACTTATGAGGGCCGCAAGGAACACACATCGCTCTAATTCCTTTGGGAAGCGTCTATTTTGGGCATATGCGCTTTGTATGAATAGCGTCCACGACGGCCTCACAGAACCCCAAGAGCGCCGCAAGACATCCCAACAAGGCCTCCAAGACGGTCCAAGAAGCTCCCAGGATCGCCCCAAAACGTCCCACAGAGCCCTCCAAGACGACCTCCGTAGGCGCCTGTGGATCCCAGAGCGCTCTAAGACAGTCCAAGAGGCCCACAAGACACCTCACTCTGCACCCCTCCCCGCTCCTCCCAGATTCCTCCCCATCCCTCCCCGCTCCAGGCAAGTGTGCGCGAGGCGGTTGTATCTCTGGCCGCGAGATCCTGCCAGTGTATACCTACATGTACGACCACCCGTCGGGTGATAACGAGGTTGTGCGTGTGGTGGTGGGGGTGAGGAAGGGGAACCAACTGGAGCTACAACATAGCATTGCATCGCACAGCAGAGCATAGCATAGCACCGCATAGCATCGCACAACACAGCATAGACGAGCATCGCGTAGCATAGCATAGCATAGCATATCATCGCATAGCATGTCATAGCATCGCATCGCATCGCGTCGCATATACTAGCATATCATCGCATGGCACAGTATGGCGTAGCATAGCATAGCATAGCATCGCACAGCATAGTATCGCATCGCATCACACCGCATAGCTTAGCCTCGCATTGATAACATAGCGTACTATGCGGGCCGAACCGTACAATGGCCGAAAGTCCGTCCAAACGGCGCTCTCGCCTCGGCGCGGGCAGCACACCGCCAGCGTCACCTGCACGCCGTGGCCAGCTTAAGTTTAAGAGCGAATCGTGAGGATGTCTCAGCAGAAACCGGCTTTCTTGGTTCAGATGGGCGGGCTGGACGACATGGGCGAACCAAAGCGCGCGCGCAGCGCGCGCGTGGTTCTAGTATATATATATATATAAGTATCCCCATCAGCCCATCCAGAAACAACGCCCAGGCGAGTAGAGGTGATCATGGAAGCGGGGCAGCATACAGAGGAACGAGGGGCTGGGGAGGCCGTCGTACCCCAAGGGGGGGGGGGATGGAGGACGTCTCGGAGGCGGAAGAGGAGGAGGAGGAGGAGGAGGAGGAGGAGGAGGAGGAGGAGGAGGATGAGGGTGGGGAGGGAGGAATGAGGAGGAGGAGGAGGAGGAGGAATAGGCGGATGATGATGCTGATGTTGATGTTGATGATGCTGATGATGACGATGATGGTGGTGGTCTTGACGATGGTGATGGTGATGGTAATGGTGATGATGATGATGATGATGATGATGGTGATGATGAGGGGGAGGAGGAGGAGGATAAGGGCGATCAGAAGAGTCAAAGGCCTCTTGAATGCCTCGCGGAGTCTCTTGGGATGTCTCTTGGGATATTATTTGAGGTCTCTTGGGGCGTCTTGGGGGCCCCTTGGCGGTCCCGGGAGCTTCTTGGACCGTCTTGGGTGCCTCGTGGGAGCCTCTTGGGGCCTCTTGGGGGCCTCTTGGGGGTATTTTGGGGGACTCTTGGAGGCCTCTTGGGGCCTCCTGGTCGCCTCTTGGGGCCTCCTGGGCGCCTCTTGAGGCCCTCTTGGGGCGCCCTTGGGAGCCTTGGGAGCGCTCTTGGGGCCATCTTGGAGGTGATCGATCAAACAAAAGGAGGGGTTCAATTAGCCTCCCCCCTCGGGAGCCTCCAAAATCGGCCCAAACCCTGGTAAAATCGATGATTTTGGCTTCCTATCTTGGGGCCCAAAGACCCGTCCGACACCTCGCGGCCCGCCCCGTCCAGGTCCAGGGGAGGGGTAGGGGGAGGGGTAAACCCCTCCCCAGGGGGGAAGAGGGAGGGGTGGAAGAGGATCTGTTCTAGACCACCTACGCCCAGACGGCTGGTGGGATTCATCTTGTTTTTTACTCGCCCGGTTTAGTTTCACGCGGTTTTGGTTATCTTGATGTTCGTTCGCCGTGTCAAGTCACCCTCGGGAGTACGTCCGGTTTTAAATTGCCCGGTTTATATTCATGTGGTTCTTATTCGCCCGGATGGATTTCATCACGTTTAAATTCGCCCAGTGTAGATTCATCCGTTTTTGAATCGCCCTGCTTGATTTTTTCCGATTGTGATGGTTAGCCTGGTTAGAATTATCCGGTTTTGATTCGCCCGGTTTGAATCAGTCCGGGCTTAAATCGGTCGGTTGAAATACATCCGTGTAAACCATTATGTTATAATGCGCCCGGTTCATAAGCGGGCGAAACACAAGCGGAAGAAACATAAACAGGCGAAACCAAATCGGATGAAGCACAAGTGGGCGAAACACAAACTGGATGTCCCGAGGAGAGTGCGGCGGCGCCATGCTAAAACATCCTTTTAGATTTTTTCGAGGCTCCCAAGGCACCACGAAACTGCCAGCGATGCGCGGGCATGGTTGTAATGGCGCCATGCGGACCCAGCCGCCCGAGCCTTGAGTGGACACAGTCCTTGTGTTACTATCAGGAACGCATAAAAAAAGGAACGGTGAGTTTTTTCAGGCCACAGCGGGCCGTAGCCACAAACAGGCTCAACGACAGAAATCTAACAAACGGCCCCAAAACTTGAGCGGATTCTTGTCCGCCCGCACGCACCCGCCTGGGTTTTGCCCGCCCGCTCGCACGTCCGCCCGTCCGCCAACGCGCGCGCCCGCTCGCGCGCCCGCCCGCGCCCCCGCCCGCCCGCCCGCACGCACGCTCGCCCGCCAGCCCGCGCGCCCGCCCGCCCGCCCGCGCGCCCGTTCCCGTTTCCGTCACCCGCCTCCCGCTTTCGCTCCCCCGATGCGGTCACCGAGCCGCGCCCGCGCGATCAGGCGCGCGGCAGGAAAAGTTCTTCCCCCTTCTCCTCCCCTTCTGAGCCGACGATTTTCTTCCTCCTCTCCTTCAGCATCCTCCTTTCCACCACTGTGCTGCCTCTTGCCTCCTTTCCTTTCTCCTCCTTCCTGCCTCCTCTTTCCTCCCTCCTCCCTCCTTCTCTCCTCCTCCTCTCCTCCTCCTCCTTCTCCTCCTTCTCCTCCTCCTGCTCTCTCTCTCGTCTCTTGCCTCCTCCGTCCTCCCCTCTTTCCTCCTCGCTCCTCCCTCCTCCTCTCTCCTCCTTTGTCTCTTTTCCTCGGCGCGCGACAGCGCCTGCGGGCGGAAGTGGAAAATAAGTCCGTTTCGCCGCATGGCAAACCTTTGGGGGGGCGAAAGATGTGTTATCCCAAGGTTTCGCGACGTGGCAACGCCTGCGGGACGGAAAACAATATTATTCTTTTTGAATTGCCAGATGGAAGCGGCTGGGGAGCGAAGCAACAATTACGTCACTCCACGAGTCGCCTCGTGGCAACGCCTGCGGGGCGGAGCAAATATACGTTCACACTACCCGCCACGTGGCAACGTTTGGGGGGGGGGCGAAACAAATACTGATCCACTCTCCTCGCCACGTGGCAACGCTCGGATGGGGGGAAACAAGCGCTACTCCACTATACTCGCCACGTGGATGCGCCTGCCAGGCGAAACCGAATTGCTCCACTCTTACTCGGCACGTGGCAACGAAGCGGGTCGGAACAAATGCTACTCCACTCGATTCGTTCCATGGCAACGCCACGTGGCAAGGCCTGAGAGGCAAACAACATTATTATCCCACTCCATTCGCCATGTGGCAAGGACATTGGGGGCGAACAAGCAGTATAACCTTAACTTACTCATCACGTGGCTATGCCCCGCGGGCCGAACGTACACAATCTGATTCGGCCTGCCACTTGGCAATACCTGAAGGACGAAAACAACTATTCCATCCGATTTGCCACGTGCTAACGCCGCGGGGCGGGAACACATCCCGGCCTACTCCTTTCGAAACGGTGCAACTACATTTCGGTGAACAAAGTACAGTATATAGTTTGACACGCCACGTGGCAAGGCGGCACAGCGGAACAAATGGCAACGCCGAGGAGGCGCGCACCAAAATCTACCCCGCGCGTGAGTGACTAACGCGGACAGAGACGACGATGACGACGACGACGATGACGACGACGAGCGGCGGCGACGACGACGACGACATCAACGACGACGACGGCGACGGAACGCGATGGCGAAGACGGAC